CACTCAACTCGTGAGGTTCCAGTACGTAGCTATCCCCATGCAGCGCGTCTATGTGTCCGGCAAACTCAAACCCAATCCATCTGTGAGGTTTCAGCAGGCAGCTATCCTCACTCAACACGTCCATGTGTCCAGCAATCTCCAATACAAATCACCTGTGAGGTTTCAGTATGTGTCTTTCCTCACTCAAAGCGTCTATGTGTCCGGCACTATCCAACACCACCCAACTGGTGAGGTTCCAGTACGTAGCTATCCCCACGCAGCGCGTCTATGTGTCCGGCAAACTCAAACCCAATCCATCTGTGAGGTTTCAGCAGGCAGCTATCCTCACTCAACACGTCCATGTGTCCAGCAATCTCCAATACAAATCACCTGTGAGGTTTCAGTATGTGTCTTTCCTCACTCAAAGCGGCTATGTGTCTGGCACTATCCAACATCAGTCAACTGTGGTTTCAGTATGTCTCTATCCCCACTCAGCGCGTCTATGTGTCTGGCACTATCCAACACCACTCAACTCGTGAGGTTTCAGTATGTAGCTATCCCCACGCAGCGCGTCTAGACTGTGTCTGGCAAACTCAACACCCAACCTATCTTTGAGGTGTCAGTATGCAGGTATCTTCACTCAACGCGTCTATACGTCCGACAATCTCCAATACAAATCACCTGTGAGGTTCTAGTATGTGTCTTTCCTCACTCAAAGCGTCTATGTGTCCGGCACTATCCAACATCACTCAACTCGTGAGGTTTCAGTATGTAGCTATCCCCACTCAGCGCGTCTATGTGTCTGGCAAACTCAAAAACCAATCCATCTGTGAGGTTTCAATATGTAGCTATCCCCACTCAGCGCGTCTATGTGTCTGGCAAACTCAAAAACCAATCCATCTGTGAGGTTTCAGTATGCAGCTATCCTCACTCAACACGTCTATGTGTCCGGCAATCTCCAATACAAATCACCTGTGAGGTTTCAGTATGTGTCTTTCCTCACTCAAAGCGTCTATGTGTCCGGCACTATCCAACATCACTCAACTCGTGAGGTTTCAGTATGTAGCTATCCCCACGCAGCGCGTCTATGTGTCTGGCAAACTAAAAACCAATCCATCTGTGAGGTTTCAGTATGCAGCTATCCTCACTCAACACGTCTATGTGTCCGGCAATCTCCAATACAAATCACCTGTGAGGTTTCAGTATGTGTATTTCCTCACTCAAAGCGTCTATGTGTCCGGCACTATCCAACACCACTCAACTCGTGAGGTTCCAGTACGTAGCTATCCCCACGCAGCGCGTCTATGTGTCTGGCAAACTCAAAAACCAATGCATGTCTAGGGTTTCAGCAGGCAGCTATCCTCACTCAATACGTCTATGTGTCCGGCAATCTCCATCACAAATCACCTTTGAGGTTCAGTATGTGTCTATCCCCATGCAGCGTGTCTATGTGTCCGGCACTCCAACGTCACTCAAGCCGTGGGGTTTCAGTATGCAGCTATCCCCACTCAACCCGTCCATGTGTCTGGCAACCTTAAACCTCACTCAACCCTTGCGGGTTTGAGTATACAGCTGTAATCTCTCAACACGTCTATGTGTCCGGTAATCTCCTACATCACTCAACCTGTGAGGTTTACGTAAGCTATCCTCACTCCACGCATCCATGCGTCACGCGTCTTTCGTAGAACATACTTTGGGGCTATAATTGGGGTGGCGTGTTTTACAGCGCTTTGCCAACAGCGCCAACCCACTTAAGTCTAGAATGGGGGGGGGGGCGAACTAATGTTTTGCATGCCTTAAGCTGCTAGATCATTGACCACGCGGCCTCGAGAGGACGGAACATTGTTCCAGGCTCCCTTCTACTTTCCCCAGCTCAGTCACGTACCTCCCTTTTCGTAAAGCGGACATTCTGGAACCACATGAACCCGGTCTTCGAACTCGAAACCGCATCACAATGAACTTGTCGTTGTCCTTCGGGCGGGTGGCGTGAAGGGATAATTGATCCCGGACAAGCGATACACGGGGAGAGTCAAGTACCCGGGTGAACCCCCGACCTCCATTGGGTCGATCTTTCGCTCTACCTCCCTAACAATTTTGACCATGCCTTTTCCTTTTCCTTCTATTGTCGGTGTGTGTGTGCTGGTCGTTCTGCCGACCAGGCTACGCAGCGACATCCAATACGTCGTGGACTGCGCTCGAACGTGGTGCTCGGAGCACCGCTTCATATACGGGGGACCGATGCCCTGCCAGATTCTGAGCAGGTGAAATGGAATAGTATCAGCATACAGCAGTAGCGCGCGGTTGTGTGGAATTTTGGTCGGTTGATTTGCGAGTTTCGGGGGGGGAGAGACTATGGGACCCAATCGCTCTTGTGTGTGTTGGTTTCCCCGGGCCCAGGCTGGCGGTAATGAGGCCGAAAGCCTTCCATGATGTACATGGGACGATACTTCCTTCGTGGTGCAAACGAATTCCACGATCTCTAGCCCTCCTCTTCGCTTCTCCGTCCCCAGGCGACTCGCCGACCTAATCCATTCTTGTACTACGCGCGGAGGCAAGCGGCCTCTTGCTGTCGACATCCTAGTTGGAGGTGAGGGTGACGACGAGAACGACTTGTACGGTAGGTTGCATGACGTTAGGTACCACACCCCCTGGACGGATTAAGGAGACTCGGTTACTCCACGACAAAGACGACAAAACCACTCGGTGTGTTTTCAGGAAGATGTCGTCGTCGGGATGGAGTCAACGAAACATATATTCGGCACCGCCGCCGGATTCGCTGCAGAGCAATCGAGGTTTGAAAAATGATCCAGGTATCTCGTGCGGCCTACTGTACACGGGGGTGCGTAGACGGCCCGAAAGGGGGTTCTTTTGTGCGTCTCGTGGTTCCGATTGAGACTGTTAACGTTGCGTTGTAGAAAGGCTTCCCGGCAACTCTCCTCCTGCCGCTCTCTACGGCCCGCCCCAATCGCGCCTCAAAGGGGTTGATGACCACGCGGGCGCCAGCCTCCATCGAGTGCAGGCAACAGGCGCGTTCCAGCGGTACCGAGCGTTCGCCGCGGGCGGCGGCGGAGCTGCTGCCACCGCCCGCCTTGCGGCAGCAGCGGACAAGGTGGCGGACGCTAGAGAAGTACAAGACGACGACGACGACGGGTTGCGACAGGCGTCAGACGATGCGGTGCCGGGCTATCTGTCCGGGGAAACACGGCAAGGCGTCCCCGTTGATGCCACCACCACCTCCGCTGACGGAGCTTCTAGCGGTGAGGACGGGGGAAGGGGTGATGCCGAGGATAGCGCAACCGTAGCTGCAGCAGCAGCAGGAGTAGACGCAGCAACAACGGAAGCGGGGGGGCGAGCGGGGGGACGGGAAGGGCAAGGGCGCGGTACTCTCGCGCCCGAGCACCGCGCAGCCCTGAAGCGCGCGGTCGCAGCGCTGTGGGAGCCCGCGGGTGGCGGCGGCGGCGGCGGCGGCGGCGACGGTGACGGTGGTTCAGCCGGGGGGGAGGAACGTCACGGAAGGGAAGCCGCGACCCGCGGTGGCTTGAGGGCCGCCGAGCTGACAGCCACGGTGTACGGGATCCAGCGGCAAGCATCGGTGGAGTCGCCGAAGGAAGAGCGCGGCGGCGGCGAGAGCCTTGGCGACCCTGTGGGTGATGCTGGTTTGGGGGGCGGGGAGGGGGAGGGGGCATGGGAGCAAGGAGTCGGGTGCTCCCGAGAGGAGATGGAGAGCATCTTGCTCGAGCTAGAGGCAGAAGACGAAACGACCTCAAGAGGAAACTGGCGATAGGATACTATTAGTGTGTGGATGCTGAAAACAATGTGGGTTTGGAAGGTCCCGATAGACGCGTGTGTTGGCGACCATGGCGATATTCCTTCGCTCATGGTCCTCTATCGCAACACTTAATGGGTGTGGCAGTGTACGTGAAAGTCCTGTAGTATCTACCATGGCAGGTAGTAGTTCTTTTTGCCTAGATAATCTGGGTGCGGGATTCTTTTCAGTGTGTACGGCCCTGTTAAACGAGAAACGGCCTCACGTGAAATGCCCGAGAGGGGGTAGGAGGTGACAACCTTGGGGCGGTACCCAGCAGCAGTAGTAGGATTCAACGGCAGCGAGGCATGTACAGCAGTAGTCCACGCTGGGGTTTGTGAGGTTCAACTCGCTGGTGACCTTCAGATCTCGAAGGCAATGCGTGTGAGAGATTTAGAGAGGGAGAGACGCGCGGTGGACGTGAGCACGCTATTCAACGAGATGTAAGTAGTCAGTCCTTTCTCTAGGCATATGCATCCCACAAAAGAGGTACTACAACCAGCGAGTTCATTGACCCTTCGGATGAAGCGATGTGCTTGGCAAGATGGTTGGACTCTGGCAAAGGTGCCGTGGTAGAAGGAGCGGAGATGTGGAAGACCCTTGTTCCGTTGTTACTCAGTGTTGTTGTCTATTGTCATAAAATTCGTTCCGATCTCCGCTCCGTAATATCCGAACTGATAAAATTCATGCAACTTTCTCTTTCTGTGCAACCAACCAGGTCATTTCCCCGAAATGAAAATACTAGAAGTAGAATTACCATATCACCGGACGGACCTCATCCGTAGTGCCTACGTACCGCCGCCCCATCAGACTGAGCACAGAAGTTGCAGACTCTACTGAGAGGGCCCACTACATGCTTTACGATTACATCCAACCGTTAATGATGAGCCCGGCATATGAACACCACACTAAAACCTAGGTGTTATTACATCGGCGACTTTATTTTGCCCACTAACCAAGCACCTCAGCTACCTCGGCAAAACTACCCCCAGCAACCTCGGCAAGAACTAGACAAGTTCGGGCGCTATGTGTAGCAAGCAGGGGGCGCGCGCGACTAACAACGGAAACTGAGACCAAGATTGTCGGGAAAATTCTGTGAAGAAGGGCTGACCAAAAGGCACATACACAGCTCAGCCGTTAAGCATACTCTACCTACTCGATGCACTTGGTGGCGACGAAATGAGAAATTTACCATTGTTATGAGCCTCGGAGCGAGCGAAGCGAGCGACATTTTTTCCCTTGGTCCCCGGGAGGGAAGAATAGCTCTATATATCTTGCGCCGCGCGATACAGGGGCCCCAAAACTTGGTTTCCTCGAAGCCTATTTAGCTCACCTTTGGAACCAGAACGAAATCTACAGGGCACCGGTTGACGATCTGCTCGCTTCTGAGGAAGACGAGAAATAGCGTGCTCTTATCCACATCGGTTTCGTCGTGCTCCGAGAGCAGATGGCCGTGCTTCACCGGCATATGTAGCCTATATTCGTAGGAGAATGTGCTCCCCAACCCCGGGGTTTCTACGCGAAAAGGCGTGCACAAAAGCGGAGATCGCGCGCGCGCGCGATTCAGACCAGGACAAGAAGCACCGACAGAGACGCAAAAACACCACCAACGAACGCATCACCGTTGAGACGCTAGTCTGAGACCAGCTATGAAAACCAGGAGGGGCCGGGCCTTCACGGCCTGTGCACCGTGGGTATACTGTAGGCATGGGCCATGTGTACTCTGGCGGGTATTTATTGATGTTGAGTGGGTCCAACCAACTGCTTCAAAAGAGCAGACCGATGAGGACACAAAGTCGCCGACCATCGACCTGCATGCGGCTGACAATTTCAAGCGGTGGCCCACGTGCGTGCCACTCGACGACATCCCATCTCTACTTGAGGTTGAGGAAGCGGTACGGGAAGTGGCCAACAGAAAGGTCGTCGGGCCGGACGATCTACCGGCTGAGCTGATCAAGCTTTTCCTGGACGGAGATCAAGTCTCCTTCGCGAGTTCCACGCCACTGTGGTGGACGTGTGGCAGACGGGGGACGTACCACAGCAGTGGAAGGATGCCAACATCAAAGTACTGTTCAAGAAGGGGGACACGATGGAGTGCGGCAAGTACCGGGGCATCTACCTCGTCGCACACGCCGGCAAGGTGCTGCTCAAGGTCGTCGCTACACGACTGAGCCACTACTGCGAGCGAGAGGGCATCTTCCCGGAGGAACAGAGCGGTTTCCGCCCACACCGGTCGACGCTCGACATGCTGTTCGCCATCCAGCGGCTCCATGAGCTCGCGAGGAAG